CAGACGTGGGTGACACGGTCACAGACGATGCCGTAAAGGGTGCCTCCAGCAAGGTCGGGACTGCAGAAGGCGACACGGGCCCCGGAACGGCCGGTGGTGGTTGGAAGTTCAGGCCCGGGAGGCGTCCGAAGAAGTCGAGGCCTTCTGACACAGGGTCTAGTCGGTCTTTGGTTTCCCAGTCTTGGACTGGTAGTCTCAGACTGCGGCAAAAGCCCATGCAGGATCCGTTGATGTAGGCATTGAAGAGTCGTAAGAAGCATCCAAGGAAGCAGGGGTCTGACAACCGGCGCGATTCCGGACGGTCAAAAAGCTGCCTGGCGACTTGAACCACCTGACCAAACCACTCCTTACCCAACGTGCGATGCAAGGATGCCGCAAGTTCGATACCAAATATGTTAATCACATCGAACGAAGCTGCGCGGACTTGCATGCCCAAACTCAAGAACATCTTTGGGCCTCGCTCTGTCTTGAGGAATAACTCAAAGAGCCTTGAGATTACGTCCAGCTTACGGATCTCCTCCGCACTCATGGCGGGTAGTCCAACGAAGTGGGAACCTACCTGGTCGCCGTACAGTCGTACCGTGCTGAATGCAGCGGCGTCGGGTACGACCTTTAACTTCTCCATCCACGAAATACATGAACCCCGCCGCAGACGCGCCCCTAAAAGCGTTGCCAAGAACCATTGGTTAGTCACTCCAGTTGGTCGACTAGTTCGCTCCTCACACTTTTCAAGTAGCGCCAGCATTCTGGTGCGATCCAGTCGGTGGTACAACAGTCCTGCCAGTCGACCATGCCTCAATGCGACAGAGTCCGACAGAGCCTCTGGACCGGGCCCATTTCGGCCGGGCCTGACCGTATTTCAGTAGTCCCGAAATGCCGTTTCAACTTCGTCCGTACACTCATCCAACACCTCTTGTTGGACAGGCACCACAACTCCCGGGTTTGGCTTCAGGAAGTGGGTCCGCACCGTATCGCTAACTAGCTGCTCAGGCGTCTTACTCTCATCAACGCTACCTTCCGCCACCCTGCTCACATCAACGCCACTCACAACTCCACCGGCAGTGCCGCTCTGGGTCCCGCCACCACGCCGCATCTGGACGTGGTAAGACGCACCTCTGGTCGAGCCGGTACCCAAAATGACTTCGCTGCCGTAGCCACCCAACATAAGAACGTGAATCGACTTCGACGGTCCTCCGCCGTGGTTTATACTCGCCTTCATAACGGGCTCCTAACATGTTTCAAATTCGGCCTCTGCATATTGTGACCAAGTTTTGTCTCTTGGCTGTCGAGGGGAGGGGTCTCAAAAGGTAGAGAAGTGTGCGCGTGTTTGTGTGCACACACTTTTATGCGCGCACTATTACACTCTTTCCTTGACGGGAGATACTGGAAGAGAGAGACACCGCCTCGGGTGTAGAAGTGTTCCCGTCCGTAGACAGGCACCATAGTGATTCCCAAAGAGAGCTTCAGGCGCTGAATCGAATGGCTGGCTAACGGCTCATAATAGTCCAACAGCCGGATATTATAGGCGCTGAGCCGCGGAGCCAGACCTATTATTTCCAAGATTTGCCCGTTCAGATGTACCAAAGCACATGCCACATATACCAACGTGTTCGGACATCGCGCGCGCGCTTGTGTGTGCAAACCGTTCAGACATGCGACTCGACTTCCCTACGGGGAGAGTGCCCGTTTCTCCTCTCTCCGGGGCCCGTGAAGGCGCAGAACTGGGCGACTCGGCCCCGCAAAAGGTGCCTCCGCGTCAACCGTCGTATTCTCGCAACATTGGGCACAGACTTCTACAACAGCGACACCAAGAACACTAACCCCGTCCGGCCGAGCAATTTCTCAATCAGCACTAAGGCGCGATATAATGTGTCATACAGTACACCGGCCAGACAGATCTAACAGTGTCTCGAAGGCTTATCGGAGGGTCCCATTGTTCAGAACCATGTCTCTCGCCTAATACTTGGTCGATTACGCATTCAAGCCGCTCCATAACCTTGCGCAATACGGGTTCCGGTATGCTGTCGGGTGAAGTGGTGTCCCTTACCTGAAGGAAGTGAGCGCGTTTACAATTAATTGTTCCGCTTCACCCCGGTTCAGACCCCTGTTTGGATCCGGTAGCCAACCGCAAAACTTCTCGGTGGAGTCGCGGAAGTAGATATTGAACAGGCGTTAGACGCGTCCGCTATGACGTCCTTACATCGGACGGAGTTACAAGCCCCCACCCACGCCCATAGTGATAATCGCATGGGGTTGTCCACTTGCAGAAGAGGCTGTCTAATTGGACAGGGTTTCTCTGCTTGTCGTGAATGGGCCCGCCCCCCTTTTTCCATTTTATTTCCTCCCCGGTCACCACCACCCCTGACTTGCACCCAGACAGCCTGTTTGAGCCTCAACGGACTTTATACCAATCCATGCTAGACTCCATGTCATTCGCCCGGCTGAACAGCTCTCGATCTACAACATGGATCTGAGTACATCCACCCCTGTGTGTATATCTAGACCTGTGTCTACACCTGTGTGCATCTATACATGCACACTGGTGCTCGTCTCCTACAGGGTCGGAAGTACTCAGACAGAGCTTGGGCCGTGGCGGCGTGTAGAGCGTCCACGGACTCCATCTCCATGTACCCGCCTTTGACGCCCGTGACAGTCGAGACTTGCCTGCACCAGAACGTCCATGGAAAGTGGGCGGGTCCACATGATGGATGTAAATGAGGGGTGCAGGGCAGGAGTCTTACATGAACGAGGGGGCGGACGCCTTTGTGAGGGCGCCGCTTATTCGTTGGAGTTCGATCAACTCCATTCTGGGGTTCCAATAAGGCGGTAGTCCGAGGGCAAACAACACTGTTGAAGAACGGATGGACGTGACCATGTCTGTGATTACCATTGTCCACTTCTCTTTGGCATCCAAAGTCAAAAGCAGCGTACACTGTCTTGGCAGGAATCTTGACGCAGCAGCACACTGCAATAACACCGCAATATAGTTCATTAGCATCAATGCAGGTAGCGCAATTGTTAGAACTTCATTCCCAACAGAGGACCATTAAGAATGTGTTCTCACCAAATGGGGGGATATCCGGATCAGTGGGGATGTCCGGATCAGTGGGGATATCCGTAAAATAAATGCATGAGGGTTTCGGTGCTTACAATGGAGACCTATCAGATGACGAAGCATTGATGATAGCGCTGCGCGAGTCGATGGTCAATGAGCCAGTCGCGGAGTCGTCCGATTCGAGGTCGTCCGACGTAGTGGAAAAAACTGGGTCGTGTAAATCCGGCAAGGAGCGGACTTCGCGTCGGTCGAGGCACCAGAGGCGGGCCAGGGAGAAGAGCCGGACGGAGCGGAAGGCCGCTTCCGTAGAGCGGGTTGCTCAGGACAAAGATCGGCCGCGGGAGAACAAGCTGCATGATGGGAATCATGACGTGCTGTTTAGCGAGATGAGCGGAGGGGAAGTGAATGGAAGCGGGGTGGGTGGAAGCGAAGGAAGTGAAGAGAACGCGCATCAACAGAGTGCCGGTGAGTCGAGCGACGCTGAAGAGCCGCAGGCCGGTAGTCGGCGGCGGCGAGGTACCCCCGTTTCAAGCTCGAGTTTGGCTGCAGGACGGTCGAGTTGTGGAATATCCCCCGGGTCGAGGGCTCTGATTGACTTCAGTATCCACACTCCCGATGCTGGGTGTGGTGCCGAGGAGATTGACGCTGACAGCGGCGCCGAAGAGTCAGATCTGGATGAGTGGACCGACGAAGGATCCGACCTTGACATGAGCGACAACGATGTGGAAGAGCGCGGCAGGGATGAGCGCGGCAGGGATGAGCGCGGCAGGAAGGAGCACGGCAGGAAGGAGCACGGCAGGAAGGAGCACGGCAGGAAGGAGCGGTCGGGGAGAGAGCGGTCGAGGAGAGAGCGGTCGAGGATAGAAAGGGGCGGGAAGGAGGAAGAGGTTGGCGATAGGATGACTAGTGGTTGGGGTGCCATTTTGGAGACGCTGGTGAGTGACTATGTCCAGAGTTCGAAAAAGGAGATGATAAAGGGTGTGAGGTCCGTGTTGCATTTCGAGACTGCCGTGCCAGAGATGTATCGGGCGCCTCCGATACATCGGGACAATTTGAATGGATTACAAGCTGAAGGTTTGTTGCTGGCTAGATATCAAATTTTTGCAGGATTGCTGAGTCTGGGCAATGAGTATGCTGCAGATCAAGGGCTCTATCTCGAGCCGTTAACCGACCTGGATGGTCATCACGTGGCAGCGGCCATCAACAAGCTCAATATGCCAATAAAGGTGGAAGATTCGCGCCTTATGATCAAAGCTTTGAATGAGGACGAAAAATTAATCACAAGTCGTGCAGTCGAAGAAGGAAAGAAATCGCTGTTTCTACAGCGTATCAGTCAGCTGGAACTACTGGCTACGTGGCCCAGCGATGACCTGCCTGTGCTCAGATCTCCACCCGTAGGTCGCAGACCTGCCGCAGAAAACAACAATGAGTCGAGTGGCAGACAAGTGGACGAACGTGGGTTCCTCATGCCCGGGAACTGCTTCGCGCCAACCAAAAAACGGAAAAAGGCCCGCGTCGATACCATCTACCGCCAGCCTCTGCCTGCCTATGACTACAAGAGATCACCTCCGGAGTACTACACTAAAATACCATGGGAATGCTGGTGTTCCATTTTCGATAGAATCAAGCTCAAGGTACAACCCAACGGTATCGTATGGTGATACTACTCTGCGGGCGCTTTAGACAATGCGGGCGCTTTAGGCAATGCGGGCGCTTTAGACAATACGGGCGCTTTAGACAATGCGGGCGCTTTAGACAATACGGGCGCTTTAGACAATACGGGCGCTTTAGACAATACGGGCGCTTCAGGCAATACGGGCGCTTCAGGCAATACGGGCGCATCAGGTAGTGTAAAGTAATTTTGGATAGCTAACAAACCTTTCTTACTGATTCCTGGCGTTCTGCCTTTCCGGACTATGAAGTTGCCATCGCTGTCGCTTTCCATCCTCAAGACAAGACTGTGCCAGTTCGGACACACAGACATGACGTATGCAACATCAGCCGGTTGCAAATTGGGAATCTACACAACATACAGCTT